CCACTCCACCCGTCTCTTGGCCGCCACAACCCTCCGAAATGTCCTCGGAACGAAGAACTTGGCGGAAATCTTGAGCGAGCGCGAGTCCATCTCCCACAACATGCAGAGCTCCCTAGACGAAGCCACAGATCCCTGGGGTGTCAAAGTAGAACGAGTTGAAATGTAAGTGTTTCCGTGTCTCGTTTTTTTGTCATTGGCTTTTATTCATTGTTTTTTTTTTATTGTGTATTATTGACCCTTTGATCATTTATATGTTTATTTATCCATAGCGTTCCTCATAATTATGATGGTAATCATTCGTTTATATTATTTTTATTGCGTTTTTTGGATTCAGAAATCCGTGGTTCTTTGTTGTTTCGCTTACATTATTCATGTTCGAAAAGTGGTTCTATGTTTATTTCCAGGATTTTTTTATTACAAATATAAATATAGTGTTTAAACTATATTATTTTATTTGTTGTTTGGTTCACTTTATGGTTATGTATAGTAATACATAATGTCATTTTTGACAAAGAATTTAGGGATACGTGTGTTATATGCGTGAACTAAATCGGTGGACCATTTATTAGCTTTTAAATCATTTGGATGTCAATTTTCAGTCGCACTAAGTAAAACTTTTAGGTAGTGATCCAGTTTTAGTTAATAATAATGTTGATCATGTGGTAAGTATAAAGATGGCGCTTTGTTCTTGTGTGTCTGTGTCTGTGCCTGTCTCCACATTTCCCAGTACTAATTTTTTTTGTAACCTTACAGCAAGGATGTCCGCTTGCCCGTGCAACTGCAGCGTGCCATGGCTGCAGAAGCCGAGGCAGCACGAGAAGCCCGTGCCAAGGTGATTGCGGCCGAGGGAGAGCAGCGTGCTTCCAGGGCCCTCAAGGAGGCTGCAGAGGTTATCAACGAGTCCCCAGCTGCCCTCCAGGTAAGGCCCTTCGCCCCCATGCTCACTCACTTACTAATGGACGACAGAACCTTCGAAAATGCACTGCCAGGTCGAATCGCATTGAGAAAAACCTTTATAGATTCGAATCAAGTTCTCAGTTGTTTGAAAGATAGCCTTCATTATATATTTTTTTGAAGAAAAAAAATGTAGATGTTCAAGTTTATGCAGTCTTTGTACAAGTGTAAGTAATTAGTGAAAAGTTTTAGAAAGGTGTGTGTATATATGTACGTATATGTACATATATATGTGTATGTATATATATATACATATATATATATATATATATATATATATATATATATATATATATATATATATATATATATATAATCATTTGCTGAGATTTGGAGGAAAAATCTCCAAGAGTTTATGATTATTAATGTTTTGATACCCTAAATACACATTTTAGAAACACTTGATCTTGTATTACCCTAGAAATCTTTTGCATATTGTCAATTATTATATCAAGACTATATATAGAACTTCAGTGGGACATTTGCTAAAGGTAAATCCATTGTTGAAAATAACAGTAATGATACTAAACAAAAATTAATCCTCCATTAACATTTAGGTTTATTGATATGAATGTCTAAGTAGACCCATTATCCTTGTGGCTAAATTGTGAATTGACATTTACTGACCCAATTTGGCTATGGTAATCATTATGTTTTTTGTCATTTGTTTGGTATACCAATTTATCAAACCCGTATATTGTAATGTGTTGTGGTGTGTGTCTCTTATGTTCATGTTTTTTTATTGTCAGAAATTTGATGTTGGTGTAGTGAAATGTAAAAAGATTGTGATTAAATCTTTTACAGGATTTTGTATATTTTCACTGTTTTGTGTGATAATGCACAGTGTTCAGACACATTGGGTAACCAAGTAGTAGATTTCTTCCAACATAGAAAATGGTTTAATCACAGATATTTCATATCCATCCCTGAAATCTAATAAGTTTCATTTTTTCCACACAAACGAGATACTGTATCTTTTACATTCAGAAGTGAAAAGGACTTTCTTAATATAAGTATTGAAATCTAAATCTAAATCATAATTGATCTCTTTTTTAGTAGTTTGTTCCAGAATAAATTGCACAGGTTAGAAGTTATCATATACTTTTGTAAGACACAGATCAAAAATAATAATAATCCCAAAATATGCATATTGAATATTTTCAAGATCAACAATTAAAAAAACCAACTCTGAGTAAGTATTTCCACACTAGTGCATCATTTTTAACAAAAATAGTTGAATGTTCTACTTTAGCTCATTAATCTGACATATAAATGAACATCACATGATGGACAGAACACACTACATTTCAATTGGTTATTCATATTCAAATAAATTTTACAAATATCATTCCAGTAAAATTATAGTGCAGTGTCACTGAATTTTACAAACTGCAGTTATCTTGTTTGTGTGTTATACTCTTATAAAGCAGCTTCTAATTTCTTTGCCATTTGAAACATTTTTATTTTGTGGTCATTAGTACAAAACCGTAAAATAAATACCCCAGTTACTATGTTTAGACTACTGTCACTTACCAGTGCAGGGAAGCAAAGATTATTTTGCTTGTCATTTATTTTGTGTTGTGTATTGTAGAGAATAATTTTGTACATATCCAAAAAATTGTGACATCTGTAGTTTACCAAGCAAGAGAGACCATTAGTATTGGATTATATTTTGCTTGTGTTCATCTTTTAGGCAATTTTATGAATAGCAAGGCTTTTAACCTCCATTAGTTATTGATTAATGTTATCTTGCTTGTAAGAATCTTTCTAGGAGCACATGTTAAGCTTCCCCCCCCCCCTTAAAAGTTCCCCCATGATTTCCCCCTTTTTTCGTTTGTTTGGCTTACAAAGAATTTGTTCTGTATGGTATTCTGTCACTTGTCACACAGCAACCAACCATATTATAATCTAAAAATCTTAAATGATACATCTACAAAATGAAAAGAGAATACTAAGAATGGTATTAGCGATAATGAATCATGATATGGATAAGCATCAAATGGAATCAAATTTTGGTCACTTTAAGGAAATTCCAGTGTGGGCAATGGCGTTTATTTTATATTTTTCATATTTACAGATTAGATGTGAAATGAGTGCTCAGATTTCTCCTTCATGCATAAGTCACACAATAGGCAGTATCCAATATTTTTGATGATGAGAAAGCATACCTAGAACAATAACATTATATGACATAATTAATGATAATCTCAATTTTTATGGCTTGATGAATATTGTCAGCATGTATATGTATTAAACTTGTTCTTATTGGTGTATTGGTTCAAGTTGTAAATGCCTTGTTACTTCTAATTATTTCAGTATGTCAAATGAAAAGAAAACCTTGTTTGACCCTTTATATTGATGTTATAAATAATACATTTTGTTATTTGAAGAAATATACACCGTAGATATAAGCATTTCCTAAGTGTCTTATCTTTTTTGTAACTGGGTAGCACTAGAGCACAGGCACTGAATATTACAGTTTGCTTTGGTACACTCTCAGTAATAAAATGTGACATTAATGATGCATGTTTTAATCGTTTGAATAAATGATGTGTGTAAAGTAAACTACAAGTAAATAATTCATTAAAATTATGATGAGGGTGTAACTCTCACTTAAAAAGTTAATTACAGCAAAAATTTTAACCAAGACAGAAAGATCTTCTTTGCTATATTCGGATTAGCTTTCCACTGTGATGAACACTCGAGGATATGATCTCTTACTAATGTAGGTAGATACCAAGTCATTTCAACAGTAAAGATGTTATAGAGGCTATTGAAGAAACAATTATTGTCCCTTGATTCTGAATAAGTAATGCTTGCTTAAATGAGTTTTGATGATACAGTTTAAAAAGACCTGTACCAACCTCTTAGTCGCTTATGTTGACTGAATGAATATTTCAGACACAGAAAACATTGCCTACTGGTAATTCATATCCATAAACACAAGCTTCAGGTGTCCTGTAATGAACAGACTTTGGCTTAATTCTCATCAGACTCAATGAAACATAGCAAATGTCGAAGATATTAAGGCTGCTTTGAGGATGATTGTGCTATTTCTACTGAAGTCTGACTAACATGCAAGAATTGCCTTAACTTTCCAGGCATTTACTTCAGTAGTCTTAGATAGCTAGCTGAAACTAACCCAAGCATATAATACTTCCAGCTGCGCTACTTGCAAACGCTCAGTCAAATATCTGCAGAGAAGAATTCGACGATCATATTCCCTCTACCAATTGACTTAATCAACAATCTTGTTTCAAAGTAGGAAAGGTGGGTTAGAGATAAATAAAGATAACATGTGCATTATTATGTTTCAGATAGTTATTTTAAGCTTTTGCAACCCTTTAAATAAGTAATATTCACAAACTAAGAAGAAGGTGAGGTTTGGCTATGTGGCACTGAATGAGATCTTAAGTATGAGTTTATGTTTTATTCATCTTTTAATTTTTGCATTTTTTTCTCTATATATACAGTAGAACTCTGTTGATATAACAAGCAAGAAGAAAACACAGATCACAATTATTTTGAACACAGGAATGCACTCATGCACTGAAAATTCACTATAAACAGAAATGCACTTCCTAGAAATGCAAAAAATCATGCATAAAGAAATACATTGCAAGTGCTTTTGCAGTACATGTAGTCAGTGTAGGGCAATCTTAGTATTACTGCAGTTAAGAATACCAGTGTTAAGAATGCATTAGAATGTGATCATGATCCCAAAAATTATAGTACAGTACAGTTCTGCTGTACAATCTTCATTTCATCTTCATTTACCATTTGAAATTATTTATATTTATATTATCTTTTGACTGGGAGATAGAAGAAAATATGATTTCATATAAACTAACCATAATTATCATCTAATATTCCATTACTCACAACTTAGTAAAACACTCATACTGTAACACAAGCCCATGCTTACTTTTTTTCTTTCTTTCTTTCTTTTTCTTTACTTAGTGCAATAAAATGTCATTCTTGATTGACTTCCTGCTGTTTTGTTTGTGAAGATTGTCTCTGCTTAATTTGTGTCTGCACCAGTGCATGTTCTATAGATTCCTGTTCCATATGATTTATATGTCTGTTGTTGTCTTTGTCCTTTTGTGATATGTTCTTTGAAAATCAAAACAAGATATATGTATATACACATGTAACATATATGCATGTTTATTTAGAATACAAAGTGGAATAATATGAATATTACACAGAGGATTTGGCAATTTGTGTGTGTGTGTGTGTGTGTGTGTGTGTGTGTGTATTATTATATATATATATATATATATATATATATATATATATATATATAATATATATATATATATATATATATGTATGTATGTATACATAAATATATACATATATATATATATATATATATATATATATATATATATATATATATATATATATATATAATATATATAATATATATATATATATATAATATATATATATATATATATATATATATATATATATACATATACATATACTACACTATATATTATATATATATATATATTATATAATATTAGTATAATATTAGTATGTATATATATATATATATATATATTATAATTAATGTACTACATATACATCATATATTACTCATACATATATTATATATATATATATGTATTAATATACTATATATACACTATATATATTTTGCTATTATATTATACATTACCTTATCTCTATATATATTATATATGTTACATTATATTATCTACGTATACTAGTCTCCTCTCTTCACCTTAAACACTATGATTATATGTACTCAACTCCAATTACATATAATTATATCGTGTTAGATATATATATCTAATTATCTACTATTTATCTCTATATAAATATCTTATATTATATATAGAATCTGTCCCAGAATTTACATATATATAGAATTATATATATACATATATATATATATATTATATATGTCTTTACGTCTAATAATATCTATTACTCTATATTGAGTCATCTATCGGTTATTAATACCTTATATTAATATCGTATAGATATGATCTCATTATTAATGGCTATTCTATATATCTATTACTTTATTTCTAGGTCTATTCATATGATCTATATATATTTATACTATATCTATACAAACGATAATACATATTATAATACATATTATCTCATACATAATATATATCTTGTATATTCTATATTATACCTATATATATACTATATTATATTTATAGACTCTATATAGTATACTCCTGTATCATATACTTACATATAATATTTATATCGTATATATTATATAGTATTTGTAGATGTGCTGTGTGTGTTGTGTGTGTTGTGTGTGTGTGTGTGTGTGTGTGTGTCTGTGTCTCGTGTGTGTTGTTTGTCTTATCTATCATTTATATAGTTATATCATCTAATACCTAAATATTACTCATCCTATATTCTATATACTAATTATACTATATCATATACATATAATATATTATAGCTATACATATAATATATCATATATATCAGGTACTAAATCACACACCACACACACCATCACACAACACCTCACAACTCATGCACTTGTCGTCAGCCTTTCGTCTCTCCACACACTCCACACACACATTGTGTGGTCCACACACACACCACACACATAGTACTGTGATTTCAATATGCCATAGTGAATTATATATTTGTAGCCTCATATGCATATAGAATACTATGTATATATTACATACATACTTATATAAATGATTATAGTCTATACATTGATATAGTATATTAAATATATATCATATATATCTAATATATACTATACAATATATATTATATCTAAGATATATATATAATATTATATAATATATAGATATATATTAGCACAGCACACACACACCACATACATATACTGGTATAATTCATTATATTATGTATATGTATAACATACATACAATATATATATTATCATCTATTATATATACTAGGATTATACTATACTTACATCATATATAGGCAGTATTATATTATAGTACTATACATACATATATACATTTATACTATATTACGTCTTTACATATATAGTATCTGTCTATTACATATATACGTATGGGTATACTCATGTGTGTGTGTGTGTGTTGGTGTTGTGTGGTGTGGTGTGTGTGGTGTGTGTGGGTGTGTGTTGCGTGTGTGTGCATCGTGTGCGTGTATGTGTGCATGGGTCGGCGTGCGCTGTTGGGTATGCATAATGTAATATATACTGGATATATGTAGCAAAATAATTCATTGTTAATAGCATGCAAGCTGTATTCTAAGGTACTTAGATCTTGATAAAAAAGAACAAGGGTACAGACATCTATTTTCAGGTTAATCTTTTTTAAAATTAATATGTCCATGTATAGCATCTATTTTTTTACTTATTCTTATCTATGAATATTTTGATATCGAAATTACATACTGAATATCAGCCAAGGTGAGTTCCAGTGCTAATCCTTTTTATATTATATATACATATATATGTGTATATGTATATACGTAGACATTTTAATGTATATGAAAAATGCAGAATGTGATTTTCCTGTATTATGTTTATATTAAATTATTACACTAATGCATTTCATTTTGCTCTCTTTTAATGCCTATAGTACATGCGTTTGGCTACTAAGATTAAATGTGTGATAAATGGCCTGTAGTTTGCATATGTTATTAAAATGATAATCAGTTGAATGAAAGGGAGAGGTAGAGTGAAGGTGTGAGTTAATTAGATAGCTAAATCAATAGTATAAGGAAAGGTTAAACCAAGAGATAAACAAAATGGATGTACGACAAGTTGATAGTAATACAGCACAGCATACAGTATCAGAGAGAGAGAGAGAGAGAGAGAGAGAGAGAGAGAGAGAGAGAGAGAGAGAGAGAGAGAGAGAGAGAGAGAGAGAGAGAGAGAGAGAGAGAGAGAATGAGAACGAGAAAATAGAGAAAGAATAAAGAAAGAGAGAGAGAGAGAGAAAAGGGAGAGAGAGAGAGAAAGAGAGAAAGGAGAGAAAGAGAGAAGGAGAGAGAGAGAGAGAAAGAGAGAGAGAGGGAGAGAGAGAGAAAGTAGAGGAAAGAGAGAGAAAGAGAGACAGAAGAGAAGGAGACAGAGAGAGAGAGAGAGAGGGAAGAGAGAGAGAGAGAGAGAGAGAGAGGGAGAGAGAGAGAAGGGAGGAGAGAAGGGAGACATAGAGAGAAGAGAGAGAAGGGAGACATAGAGAGAAGAGAGAGAGAGAGAGAGAAGGGAGACATAGAGAGAGAGAGAGAAGAGACATAGAGGAGAGAGAGAGAGAGAAGGAGAGAAGAGAGAGAGAGAGAGAGAGAGAGAGAGAGAGAGAGAGAGAGAGAGAGAGAGAGAGAGAGAGAGAGAGAGAGAGAGAGAGAAGGGACATAAGAAAAAAAAATAGTGTGAGAAAATGAGAGAGAAATGGAAGAAATGAAGACTGAAAGTTGAACTAAAGCAGGGAAAAGAAAGAAATTAAGAATGAAAGAAAAGAATGAGAGGAAAGAGAGAATTGCAGTGACTCATTAAAATACTGCCAGGAACAAGTAAATATACCTACATGTACTGTATATACATTTTTATAATCAGAAAACGAAAGTAAAACAAAAGACTTATATTCTTTTCCCAATTCTCTTCCAGCTTCGTTACTTACAAACACTCAACACCGTCTCGGCAGAAAAGAACTCGACTATCATCTTCCCGGTTCCTATTGACATTATCACCCACTACATGAGGAATTAGTGGAACGAATCGCCGGCTTCAGACTGTATATGGGAACCGACCTCAAAATTTTGCTTATCAAACACAGACACTGACATGAGTAAATTGGTTGAATTTTAAAAATTATATGATTTAAAATTTATCAAACAAGAATATGGTTAAGTCAAGAACACATCTTCCACTGCGCATTGTTGAAATAAATAGTAACATATGTGATTGGATGTGCTGCAGAATAAGATATTTGTCTCTGTATAATATGTCAGAAGATTTTTAGTAGTATTGTTTGGTTCCTGGTGATAGACACTGTACCTTTATGATTTGAATAGTGCACTTCATGGAAAAATATATATCCTATAGAGTTTTCACCAAACTTTGATTTGTCTTATGAAGTAATTAATTTGTCTGTTATTACTTACTTGAAGTCACATTATTTTTAAGAATAAAATCGTATAGCTGAAGTTATTAAGATAAAGACTCAAACATATTAAACCTTCCATTTATTTCATAAAGTGCCTCCCTGTTGACCATTAAACTCTTAAGATGTAATAACATTAACTTGGGACAAGTTTAAAACATTGCTTGAACTTGTTATAAGTTCAGAACAGTAAAAAAGGGGTAAGATATTTTTTATGTAACAGTTACATTGAAATAAAAAAAAGAATTAAAAGCTCATTTGGTGGCACCAATGGAGGAAGATGCAGACATCTGGGATAAAAACCACCAATACTCCATTATTACTTTGACTGGTGAAGAAATTGTTGATGATAATAAAGAGATGTATGTATTGTGTGCACTATCTTGAAACAGATTAATCAACATGATGTACGGAAATTTCTTTATTAAATGTTCAGATATGCCATGAGGTAAAAATCATAAAGACAAATTTATATTTTTGGGGTTGAAAACTGATGATAGCTAAGTATATATACATATAGTAATCATATGTTTCCATGTGTTGTGCAGGTGTGAATAAGCATACTCTCATGATGGGGAGTGGGTATTTGCTTGTCACTTTCATAATGTTGGAATTTCATCCAAGCTTAGGAGTGATAGTGTTATTTAACATTATATATGACATGCTGCCTACTCTCCTGTGTGATCTTTTTTATTTTCTTTCTTATTATGATTTTGGGAACTTTCTCTATATAATCTACAGGAAAAATACATGTCCCAAACAGTGATATGTATCATATACTATGTAATTAATGTCAAGCTGTGTAACAGTGTCTGTTGAATAGAAACTGAATTAGTCATTGATTTATAACAGTCTGAAGACATGTGTACCAGGTTTATGATGTTAATGGGAGGTCCTTTTAAAACTGAGTGGAAAGCAGCATTCTGAAACAGATGTTGAGTGATAAGTGGAAAAAGAAAGTTTGGTTTCTGTTATAAAACAGTTTGACCCATCTTATTTGTAAAAAAAAATATGTAGATATGAGAATAACAAAGAGTTAGTTTGCTTGTTTTAAAATAGATATGTAATTAAAATTGTGATACTTACAATAGCTTCTTAAAAGCATTATAGAATGTTTTCCATTTATCATTCATTTTAATTAACACAAATCTGTATACAGTTTAGTTTTCACAGGTGTTACAATGTTCAGGAAATATGAGATACTATTTAGTTTTTTAAATATAGCTTTCATTTAACAAACAAGGTAGAAAAAGCTGCATAAGACCTGATGGTAACGAGTTGTTTTGTGTTGGAGCAACAATAGATGGAAAGGAAAATAGATTGATATTGCATGGAATTTCAAACATACAAAATTGATATTCCAAAATTGCAGCCAGTCTTTATAGAACGGGAATAAATATTTCATATATTATTCTTTCATGTAAAATATTACAGTTTATATTTCCTGAGAATGTAGAAGTTAAGCCCAATCCTGTGTAGATTTTTCATTAAATTGGCCATCCAAAATATTAGTGAAATGAGTATTCAGTATGCCAGTTAGATTCAGAGATCGGTACTTATCCAGAACTCTAGATATATCTCCCAGTTGATTATATAGTTGATAAACTTTTATTGAATATATTATATTTAGTTTAAGGATTATTATGATTATCATTGTATGATTTACATTGTAGCTTTGAATAGGATAGGTTATTATAAGTACATGATTAATTTATGATGTATCTTCATGCCAAAGGAATGAACTGTTGAAAAAGGTTTTCTACACATTACTATGTACACTGGATATAGTCTCTCATAATTCTCATATCTTGTTCTCTTTCCTGTTTTCAACTTTGAAGTTACTGAACATTATATGGACATATGAAAGACTATTGGATTGTTTCTCTTCCAACAAATGTATAAAGTGGGTGCATGTTGTGAAAGAGCAAAGATGTTAAGTCATTGGGCCATGTTGAGATATGAAGACATATTATTCGCAGAGGCCATTCTTTTAATACTTAACATAGCTGGGAGCATGGACAAAGTTTTGACTACAAGATATGATTCAGGAGCTTGAACTAAACAATATAGTCTTTAGATTCTATGCATATATCATACGTGAATCATTTATCTTAGTGAATTCTGTTTAGAATCTTTTTCCAACAGTACATGCTTTGTGAACATTTAGATGCATCATAAACACAAGATTTTATCATTTTTATGAAAGTTTGGTCTGTATGATTTTAGCTGATTGCACTCTCTATCCTTTTGATTTTATTTCTACCCATAAGAGATATTTTATGGAAGTTAGATATACAAGAGAATATTGAAGTTTAGGACTTATCTTGTTCCATATTTTGTCTTTGTAATCTTAGAGAGTAAAGTACACAAAATGAACTAAATATTGTCTTTAGAATAGATTTAAAACCTTTATATTCTCCAAACAAATTCAATTTTCCATTTCTTGTGTGCTACTTGGAGATAAAACAAAGTATTTTACTCTGTAAAGGAAGTTTGAAAGAACATATCTTCACAACTGTATATAGCATATTTGTAATTGCAAAAAAATGCACCCCCAAAATATTAGATCAAAAGCTCGGATGACTTATATTTCTCTCTTTGAATACATTGGCTTCTGTTTGTCATCTTAAATGTGTTTGAATACAGTGGTACTTACAGTCTGCACTTATGTATTACTGATTTGCAGGTATATGAGAGTAATTACATACCAAGGTTATAAAGTTTTCTGATTTCAACCTAAATAATATTGCCAGACAATGACCCATTCTTTCGGAAAAAGAGTGTGTATCTTTGGGTATTTGATCCAACAGTGACAAAAAATATATATATATACATTATCACAGTTACTTATAATACTGATACCCAGAACTTGAATGTAGACTAACACCATTGAGTATTCTTCATGTAGATTTTGAATAACTTCAGAAAAACCACTCAATTTACATAAGCGCAAAAATACATTTGTAAAGAAAAATATTAAAATACCAATTTATGCACAGGAATGGTTTTTCTGGGGTAACATGCTTATTTGTATGTTACCATCCATTAATGTTAAATCATGTTTCTTTTATACAGAATAAGAATAAATTTTACTTCATCAAACTTGTTTCTTATTTAAAAGCATATCCTATAGCTGTTTTAGTTATTAGAGTTAATTTACATTTTGCTTCCAACCATTAGAAAGCTATCCATGTTTGCCGACTTGATAACATATTAGCTAGAATTGAAGATAAAAAGAGAAGAAAAGAGAGGAGAAATAATGAAAAAAGACCAGAGAGGAAAGAGGGAGATAAAGGAAAAGAATGTTGATGGAATGATTGTTTTTAGACCATATAAAAGTTAGATAAAGTAAAAGTCACACTTTTTTATACCTAAAAAGAAATTCAATCTGATCTAATTATTTTCCCCTTTAAATGTCATGTTACAGTCATCTCAATTTTAAAGTAGCTCGTGTAATTTGAAAACTGTGTTGGCGATATGAAACCTAAGGTCGAAATCCTCAAACTGGATTCTGGTGGCAGCAGTGGTATTGCCTCTGATTTCGTCTTTGCGGGATCCGGGAACAAGACCAGAGTACACCGTCAGCTGGGGAAAGTTTATAGGTTTTCGTTGCAATATGCTCTTGCTTGACGGTTCACGAGTGTTCTTTCCAGAGGTCATGGTGCACTTGGTTATAAGATCACTCAGGTCGGTGACTATGCAGAAAGGTAGCAACATTCCAATTGAATAGAATAATGAAATAAAATTGTCAATTTGGTAATGACTAGGTAGTCGGTAGTTGTTTTGTTAATTTTAGTAGTTAATAAATTTATTAAATTAATTACTAGCATTAAGAATACAATGTTTTATATATTTCCGTTGCAGACAATTACAAGCTTTTTATCGAGGATTAAAGACAGGACTACAAAAAAACAAAAAACAAAATCGTACTGTAGTGAAATTTCCAACAGAAAACAATTTTGTGAATATTTTGTGAATCTCCCTCGACAGGCTGGCATGAAATCTAGGGGAACCCGATGCCACGTTTCGTTATACTCCACAAATTTTTTTATTTATTTTTTTCTGTAAAAAAATTCATATATTGGTGTCTTCCTCTAACATATCTTAATATGCCTGAGACATAATACTAACGAATGCTCTTAGTTGGTCATATTTTAATGTATTTCACTGAATGGCGGAAGGCAAAGGGTAGGGTCTATGACAACCCCTGATGATAAATGAACGTTTTCAATGCGTAGAACAACGCGTTTTCTTGATTCTTTCCATTAAAATCCTCTTTTGCCCTTCTAACCCTTCTCCTATTTTCTCCACTTCCGCTGCAGTGATGAACATTCAGTTGAATTACCTCCTTCATTCGCAGCCCAAGTAAAAGAAGGAAAGGGAGAGCACATGAAAATAATAGAAAATGTAAAAAATTAAACATCATCAAATTAAACTAACTAATGAAAAAAATCAATAAACGCAAGAATCACCAAGCAAACGAGTTATATACACTATACCTTTAGCGCCGTTTTCTCGAAAACACTTTTCCAACATTTGCGATCGACAGGCTTTAGCATTTGTCGTGCAGAATTGTGCAAGGCCCGATCCAAAGAATATTCGTATTCTTTACATGTATAAATAAAGAAATGAATGCATGTTCATCAGTCTAGACATGCATATTAACTGGGCAAATAGATGGTTAAATGTATATCTATCAGATATATAGACAGATATGCCTTTATTTCTGCGTCTGTATTTATGAAAATTCATTGGGTCGGGCCTGGCACAATTTTAACAAACCGGCCGTATATATTAATATATATACGTATATATATATATATTAGAAGGTTCCTGAATGAATCTAAAACATTTCTAAAAAGTTCTCAGTGTGCATGTACAACTCCTGTATGTCAGCGATGATGATAAGAATGATATGAATAATAATGACAATCCAAAGAACATTAACAATAATGATGATTATAAAGATAATGAAAACTATGCAGCAGTACAAAAAAGTGAAGTAGAGGGAAGAAGAGAAAGAGAAAAACAAATAAAGAAAAGGAAGAGTGAAAAAAGAAACGGAAGATAAAGAGGAAAGAAAAATGAGAGGGTCAAAGGAAGAAAAATAAGTGCTGGAACAGAAGAAAGAGCTAGATAAATAAAAATGGAAAATCGCACACTTTTCCAACAGAAATCGTCCATCCTTTTTTTTATTAATTCCCTTTATTTACGATACAGAGATGCACATTCACCTTTTGAACAAACTTGTAATCCTCCAATAAACGAGGAGTACAAATATCCATATCCATGGATAAGAATGAGGATGTTAAATATGATGCAGAGAGAGAGAGAGAGAGAGAAGAGAGGAGGGGAAGTTCTGAGATTACATGAATGTGTGTTTGTACAGTACATGCTTACTTAGTGTGTGACTGTATGTGTAAGTGTGAGTGAATAAAAAGAAAAAATATCCTCGCCATAGTCATGTTCTGCCAGTTACACTGATTAGTAATGATTAATCAAATGATTTAGGGCATTTCCATACAGGAGCAGAGGAACAGAATTCATATTACTGACAAATTATTGGATGCTTCTATATCCTTCCAATCGTTAGGGTTGGATTGGATATCCACACCCGCATGAGTGGATATCTGCACTACATTTAACATCCTCATTCTTATCCATGGATATGGATATTTGGCAGATATCTTGAATAATTAGACATTACATACAGCTGGAGATAAGAAGAGAGAGGGAGATAGATAGAAGAAGAGAGAGAGAGAGAGAGAGAGAGAGAGAGAGAGAGAGAGAGAGAGGAGAGAGAGAGAGAGAGAGAGAGAGAGAGAGAGAGAGAGAGAGAGAGAGAGAGAGAGAGAGAGAGAGAGAGAGAAGAGAGAGAGAGAGAAGCGAGACGAGAGAGAGAGAGAGAGAGAGAGTCATATAAAGTGTAATCAGTTGATAAGAGGATATTCTATTTCCCCACTTTGAAAGTGTGTCCCATTCGCCTCATTCCAGCACTTGATCGATTCATGGTCAAACCTGCGTGACAATTATGAAATTTACCCTTTTTAACAAGGCCTTTCAATCAATTTAATTAGTGACTGCTTTTCCAGTGGAGCAGCCAGGTATGGAGCTTGAATACTGAAATGTGATCTTTAGATAAATGTATATATGAATTCACTTTAGTTGCATTTCTATTGAAATTGCTATGAGTAGGCTTTTGAAATAGTGGTTCATGTGTTTAGTGCGACTTTATGTGGATAATCAGAAACTGATGACAAAACATTTATTTGTCTACATATAGGAAATCATTAATATTTCGTTATTGTGGATTAAGTATATTATTATTATAACTCAGCTTTCCGAATGAATTAGTTTTTAATGACCTGAAGCTTGATTTTTTTCCATCTCTGTCTCAGCTAAAATGAGTTTTTAGGATCATGAGTAATCGGTGCATGATAAAATTATTTAATTCAGTTCATTTGGTTATCTGCCCGTTTCCTTTTCCTGGGACAAACACAATATTGATTACATTATTGACGTCCCTTGAAAATATTTGAAGAACTTCATGTCGACAGTTCATGTATCGCATACTCATACATAGGCAAACAGGCAGCACACATACGTTAATCTGCGTTAAATTGGGTCCTTTTCTAAATCGCATTGAGGTCGCGGGAATCAGTTGACTAACGGATTTCTTTCCGGTCTTGGGTTACTCATGAGATTTAGGAAACAGTATCTGACTGGAAATTAGGGTCTCTAATCCTTTCTTCGAGTCTTTGTTCTAGCTAACGAGATTATTGCCAATATAGTGCTTATTCACTGGCTCAGATGAGTCTCATGGTGTGGCATAGTAACTTTTTTTGTGAATTCAGAAAACTCCAGTTTGATTATCCTCACTGCAGCGGCAACAGACTCAGGGCTGATCCGCACTCCTCATCACGTCACCGTCTCATCACGTATCGTCATTGATTTAAAACATTTAAAAGAAAGGGAATCCTTTGATTCAAAGTCATATCACAGAACATGAGATTCATAATAAAAGATGCTTGTATTTAAAAAGTTGTATCATCAAGTATGAAAAATGTAATGAATTTTGAGTTTCTTACCTGGTTTGTTTAGTTCCTCTCTTAGTCTATTCCATAGGTTGTCTTGAATAAGTTTTCACTATATCTCCTGTTTGATATGTTAAATATTTCATCATATTGCCTAACAAGTTCAATCAGTTTTTCACTGCGGCTACTAGTCAGCAATATATATAATTTATTTTTATATGTACATATATATATATAATATATATATATATATATATATATATAATATATATATTATATATATATATATATATATATATATATATATTGTGCGTGTGTGGTATGTATATACACTTCTCGTACCCTCCACTCGTGAAGAGAGGTGTTGCTAGCTCGCTGTTCCTTGACTGTGGTGTCGATCTCACTATTGGCAGCATCCCGGCATCGACTCGGCACCGCACCATCACGTCACGTCAAAATATTCTTCGGAAGACGGTGACTAATCCTTTGGTGTGAACATGTCCATTTGACAGTGACGTGACGTGATGAATAGTGTGAATCAGCCTTAAAGAGCGTTGATACTCTTTTGATTCTCTATTTAGAGGTTCCCTTACTATGGTGATGTAGCAGGTAAAAATAATCTTTCATACCTAAGTAAACTGTTAGATTTATCATACTATTGTTCAAAACATTAGTGTCGATGCTATAAAGTTAACTAACCGAGAAAAAGTGTAATTTTAACCTTTGTCGGGGATCGAACCCGAGTCTACCGCTCAAGAGGCGATTGTGCTATCCACTGCACCACAGAGATACTCCGTTAAGTGGAAAAGATGTTCCTATTTTGACTTGCATACAAAATTTCTGAGGAATACACATATAAAGATTCATATGCGCATAAATGTATATGAGTTTGCAATTGTGCGTGTGTGTGTGTGTGTGTGTATGTGTGTGTGCACGTGAGTATGAATTCAAACGCATAATTTGTAATATAATCACTTATCGAAACTACCCTGTCAACTGCAAAGATCCGTTTTACTCTAAATCACTACAGGAATCTCGACTCCAATCAGATGTAAGTGAAAAGCGAAG